TCGTTATCTCGCAGATCTCAATGAAAAGTTTCACCCGATTCCACGGGGAGGGGGGAAATCTGTTTAATAAAAAATCAGGTATGCAAAGAATATAATCTGCTCTTGTTAAGCTCTATACTCTCTCTCTGTATGTATGTATGTATGTATGTGTGTGTATGTGTTTGAATGGATAATTGCCATTGTCTTTGTGTACACGTGTGTCGTCACCATTTGTCGTCGCCGTTATGGACACGTAAGTACAGCGTTTCGAATCCCGTGGATCGTATATAGCACATTCCTTGGAAGAACTATAACTCGATCCACTGCATTTACTGCAATCCCTCTCCTTCCTCTCGTTTTCTCTTTATTAAAATATCTTTTTTTTTATATTTTGGATCCCTTAGGTACATTCCTCGAAACATTGGAAAAATTGTACCTCGATCCCTATCCTTTCATCCCTTTCTTTCATCCCTTCCTTTATTTTTCTATCTTCTCTCCTTACGATTGTAAGATATCGTTTTGCATCTCATGTTGCGTGGATCTCCTCTTGTGGTACATCCCTTGAAACATTGGAAGAATTATACCTCGATCCACTTCGACTCCATCGTCTTCTTTCTTTTCTCCCCTTCCTCTCTTATTAAAATACACCCCTTTATCTTATAACGTAGCATGCTTATGAATACAATTCTACTTCGAATTCAAGTCGAATTCTAATCCCCACGCTCCTATATCCTCATCACTTCTACTCAAACTCGAACGCAGAGGATGTTTGAGAACGCCTCAGCAGTTCTTGTTAGCCACGTGATGGAAATAGAAAAAAAAAAATCTAAGTCTGCGAAAGATTTGCAAACTTGTTCCTTTTCAAGGAATCTCCTTTCTATATCTCGTATCTTCTCCCTCGCTTCGCTAGATTCTACACGAAAAATCATCTTGACAAAAGTGCCACTAACCCGTCAATACATTCGTTTATAAACGCGTGCACGCTTATGTGGTAAGCGCCGACTGCAAAATTTCTCTGAAAATTTACGACTATTCTATTCTGAATCGTTTGTTTCTATCCTCTAGTTCATTATGTTTCTTTTTTTTTTTTTTTTATTAAAAAAAATGGTCGTCCTATTTTCCAACCAGCAACGCGTTTTCAGTTTTAAGATTAAAAAATGTATACACAGAATTGATTATAATTAATTGATTATAATATATAATATTTGATTTTTTATTGCATCGCTTGTTGGAAAATCGAACGACCGCCACGATCCACATCGAAGCACAAGATTAATTCATATTTTATGTATAATTCTAACCAAGCTGAAATTGAGACTTTCTATAGCCTACGATCCCTTTCCCCTTTACAAAATATCTCACAAAATATAATTTTGTTTTTGTCCATGAAAATCAATAATTATATACATATGTATTTTTTTTTTTCAATTTTATAGAAAAAAGTATCGCTCGATTTTGAAGTGCGATATCTTTTTCATTTTACACACGCGCTATTTACATTAAAAATTGCGTTTTTTTTTTTTATTTGATTATAATCTACGAGTTTTAATCATCGAATGAAATATAAAAACTGTGCTTTTGGAAAAAAAAAAACTGCGTAGAAAAGATAAAATGCAGAAAATATTCTCTTTGAGCTCGAAAAATATTCAATCGGTGAAAAAAACGAATCGTTGTGTTGTAATTGTTCGTAATTGTAAATTGTGTACAATTGTAAAAAGTTGTCGTCTAAATTTCTATCCCGTGAAAAATTGTTGTGAAATATTTCCCTCGTTATATTATCAAATAATAATTATCTCTACGATGTATAAAAATAAAATTCGAATTTTTTTTTTTTCCTTTTCTTTTCTCTCTAAAATTATTATTCTTTTCGCTATCTACTACTCCCCGTCACGCACAAGTTTTCGGATCGAAACCGATCGAATTGAAGATTGCGCGACGAAACTGTAATCTTACTACCTCTTATCGAAGATCAATTCGCTTGGAAAACCATCGAGATAATCACAGCGTTTAATATTCTGCAATGTATCATAATAATAATAAAAACCTTGGGTACAAATTTTATACAACCCGATGTTTCATTTTCAATCGCACAGAATTTGAATGTGGATCGAGCTTTAATCCTACGTTAGACCGTTGAAAATTAAAAAGTGCACATTCTTTGATTGATCATTGTTTTTACATTTGTTCGCTTCTATATTATCGACGTATTTCGACGTGATTCGATTAAAATGAAACATCGCGTACACGCAAAGAAACGCTACTAAACGTCTTTCTAATTTTAGTACCATT